GAGATAAGAGAATCTGAGGGCGATGGTCTTTTGGAAATGAGGTAGGGTTAGGAAGTCTTAGGAATTAAAAAAGGAAAGGAATCATATGGGTCGTTGATCTAGGAGATCAACAACCAAGATTTGATTTAGGTTGGATCGGGTAGTTGGGTTCCGGGTTTGGGTAAGTGTATATAGGGTTTGGGTTGGGTAATTTGGTAGGAAATTGGGCTGGGGTTGGGTTCAATTTAGGCTACAATTGAAAGCCAAATCTGGCTATAATTTAAATAGCTAATTTTCCCTATTTAATTTATAATAAGTAATAAACAATTTTTGAAAAATAATTTTATGTACAAAAATGATTTTAAATATATATTTATCATTTTAAAAATATAGGGACCAATTTTACACATATAAAATATAATTATACATTAGATGGGCTAATATTGCAATTATATGCAGTTTAGCTTGAAAAATACCAAATGTAATTATAAAAATGCATAAAAAATATATCAACCATATTTTGGTATAAGTATAGAAATCAAATGAATAAATCATCATAACAATAATTTGAAAAATAATTATTGGGGATTTTATGAATAAATGAGAAGGAAATAAATCAATTTAAATTCCTAAAATTATGGAAAAAATTTATAAAAACCTTGTGTGTGCTTATATATGCATATATATGCTATTTTGAAGTTATTTATGCATATAAAAAATTTATAGGAAAAAAATGGGTATCAACACCTTACACAAGCAAATCTCAATCCTACATAACATACTGCATATACCATGCCATCCTATGATAAATATGAGAACTTCGTAATCCACTCCGAGTCACAAGCAACTGCGTACTCAACTAGCCAAGGACTTTCCATTTGATCCCATCTAGGAGAAAATCACTATACATCACATGCTCCTAACGCCAGCAGAAAATATACATATCTAACCATGGTAGAAATCATCAAGAACTCCCTGAATCCCATTTTCACAAAATCAAACCATCGAGACTGAGTCCTTCTAACTCAACCAAGCTACGCAGGTCACCAAAAATCCAAGAGCATTGCCGCGTAACACCTGTAGAAACTCATTACCTCATAAACACCCAAATAATTAATCATATCCCTTACCATGCCGATCCAACCTACTACCAAGCTGTCCTATTTATCCGAGTTCCTTCTAAATTACCTTCAAAGTGATACCTTTCCTCGCCATAATACCACAATCCTCAACTCAGACTCACCACACGAGACCCAAGTATAAAACCACATCGCCTTAAGGCTCATAAGCCGCTAAATACTCTCTTAAATATCCCCAAAAGCACCACATTCAAAATACTTACCTTGGAGAGACTTCCTTTGAATCTAAAGCCATTACTTTCACCTTCATGATACTGATATGTAAAATTCACAATGATATAGAAATGCCACAAGTCTTGACACCATCCAATGTAAACCTCAGTTTCTAGCCAATTACACATCCTGAAGATCCCAATTGTTACATATAAATCTTGAATCCATTAGAATCATTCTTGAGAGTCATCCACTCTACTTAGGTCTCAATCAAATGATCAAATGAAAAACCTATGTCCCCTTAGTACAGCAACACCTAAGGATGTAACCTATTATTCTAAGCCGCCGAGCGATTTCCTACTCCATACATGTTACATCCTTTACAAACAACAACTAAATCATCCAATGTTTCTCATATACCCATAAAGCACAACACAACCCTTATCCAAAATTTCCTTTACTCAAGTCATCCTCGATCTCAATCTCTGTAAGCCATAACTAATTCACCAGTATACCTCAAACTCAAACCAATACAACACATAACCGTGCAATCAACTAATCAATAGCAGACTCTCCCACTTGGCTCAAAGCCATAGATCAAAACACATAATAACTCGTGATGCCCATACTTTATTACTGCCATAATGCCATAGTGAGATTCAACTAAATCCTTCATAAGCTCATGCAACACAACCCATCTAATACCTCAAATCATTTGCAAAACTCGTATTCATCCTCGTAACAGTCAAGCCAACTCTCACGAGCAATCCAAACTTAAACTGCAGCACATATAATTCACTGGTAAAAGAGGACTCGCTACAAAACAACATAGGGATCACACACCCTCAGGACACCCCACAGGAAATAACCCACCTGCTTCGCCTCAAACTAATATCTCTTTATACCCTCCCACAGTCATATACATTACGTAATCACTTAATCTTTTTGAGTCTGAACTCATATCACGATATGAAATCTACGTCACTCCCCAACTAAACAACATGAAAATATCCTTCCACATACCCATAACTCGGGCTATACTTCAAATCAATATGGAAATCAAACACCAAATAGTTCTTTATACACCTCACGCAGACCCTTCTCGTCACATTCAAATCACATGAACACATCTCACACTCACATCATACTCATCCCGTAGCCATTCGGCCATCAATTCAACTAATAGGGACACTATCGGACATATATAAATCCAAAAGCACGTGCTCACACAATCAACACCTCAACACTCGAGCTACAATCAAAGAATCACAAGCCGTCGATGCACAGTTGATACCAAGCACTCATGTGCGCATACGAATGCGTGAAAGGAATTCAAAGAGTTACACTTTAAGCTGAATCAATGTCGCACGATAAGAATTCAAGAATGTGAAGTTTCCTAAGGGTTCTGCAGCCTCTCGAAGATAAGTACAGACGTCTCTGTACCGATCCGCAAGACTCTACTAAATCCGCCCATGACTCGTGAGACCTATGTAACCTAGGCTATGATACCAACTTGTCACGATCCAAACCTATCCCTGTCATGATGACGCCTATCGTGGTACTAGGCAAGCCGAGACATTATCAAAACAAATCGATATTTTCATTTCAAAAATAATTCCAAAGCTATTTAATATAAAACCTTTATAAAGGAGTTCAAATCAAAACAAAAGTGCGGAAAAGAAAGCCCGACATCGGGGTGTCACTAGTCATGAGCATCTACTACAATCGTCTGACAATATGAAGACTAACATAGTCTGGAAATAACTGAATACAACTAAGGAAAGATAAAGAGGGAGGAAAGTAGGGCTACGATTTCCAGACAACTACCTTGCTAACTCCGATGGATCTGCAACTGAATAATCAACACCCACTACCAAGCCCACATATCTGCACACAAGGTGCAGGGAGTAACATGAGTACGCTGACTCAGTAAGTAACAACAGTAAGTAAAGACTGAGAAGTAGTGACGAGCAACAATGCAAGTAAAGTTCATATCACGAATAACTCGGTAAAAATACAGCACACTTTAAAATCAGAGTTTAAATTAAATAAACTTGTTTAAATCCAAGTCCAGTAAAATCATTTAAAAACATCTTTCAACAGTTTTCGAACAAAGGTTCATTGCAAATGTGAGCAAAAATGATGAAATCATAAACAACCCCTCGGGCAAACATCACTTGTATACAACCCCTCGGGTAATCATCACTCATATACAGCCCCTCGGGCAAACCTCACCATCACTCATATACAGCCCCTCGGGCAAACCTCACCATCACTGGGCAATCGTAATCAATAGGTACCTACGCTCACTAGGGGCATGCAGACTTCGGAGGGGCTCCTTCAGCCCAAGCGCGTGCAGCCCGATCCCGTCATGAATCAGTAAAACATGTTGCGGCGTGCAGCCCGATCCCGTAAATATCCTCACAAATCAGGTCCTTGGCCTTACCCAGTCATGAATCAGTAAAACATGCTGCGGCGTGCAACCCGATCCCATAAATATCCTCACAAATCAGGTCCTTGGCCTTACCCAGTCATGAATCAGTAAAACATGCTGCGGCGTGCAACCCGATCCCATAAATATCCTCACAAATCAGGCCCTCGACCTCACTCAGTCATAACCTCTCAAGCCTCTCGGGCTCCCCAAAAACAAGGTATTCAGCCCAAATATGATGCATTAAAATAGAGTAATAGAGACTGAGTTATGCAGTAAATAAGTATAAACATGACTGAGTATAGATTTTCAATTGAAAATAATGAGAGGATAGTAATAAAAGACCTCTGAGGGTCCAAATAACACTAGCATATGGCCTAAACATGACATCCATCCTGATTTACAAAAATTCTTTCTAAAACAAGAAACATGTAGTTTCAACAAAATATTCAACTTTACAGTTGATACGGAACAGACCAAGTCACAATCCCCAATGGTGCACGCTCACACGCCCGTCACCTAGCATATGCGTTACCTCAAAACAATCACATGACACAAAATCTGGGGTTTTATACCCTCAGGACTAGATTTACAATCGTTACTTACCTCAAACTGATCAAATCTCTACTTCGCGATGCTCTTGCCCCTCGAATCAGCCTCTAAACGTCCCGAATCCTGCAAATAGCAATACAATGCAATCAGTATAGGTCAAGGAACCAATTCCACAAGAAAAACTACTTAATTGGACATAAATTCCGAAATTTACTCAAACCCGGGCCCTAGGACCACGGTGTTAAGGTATAGCATCTCTTAAAAAGACTATATATATTTTGGTCAATATGTTTTCTTTATGCATATTTTTGTTCTTTGAATCCAGAAGAATCCCATTTTTGGTTCCAGTACTCAAACTTGATGCTGAAATTTCCCTCCAATTGGTCAGCTGATTTCAGAGTAAATAAGTATTGTGGCTCGTTATGGGTTGCAGTTTTTACTGGGATGGTGAGCCATTTGGGAATTGTGCATTGAGGCGCCACCTTCTTCCACATAAAGACGCAAACTGCAGTACCAGAACAACACGTCACGTAACATAATAAGCAGAAAGAAAAAGCAATCAATTGAACTGTAAAACACAACTAGAAAAGAGAGAGAGATCGAAAATCAAAGTACATCATATCAAAAGTATTTCTTTTCTTTTAGTAGTAAAAATATCCACATATAAAGAGGGAAAAAAGGGGTTGAGAGCTTGTGTGAATTGATTGACAAAAAGGGCAATTTCATAATCCGAATTGAGGTTGAACATGGCGATGAAGAGGCCTTTGCAGTGTATGTTGAGGAGGATTTACAGGAGAGGAGGAAGTTTTAGAAGTTTTACTGCACTTCCTGAAGGCAGCACCACAACTTCCCCTTCTCAAAATCTCATCGATTTGGAGTATGAGTGCAGTGCTCACAAGTAAAACTACTATCTCCCACTTCTCAACTGTTTTTTTCCTTTTAATTTGAATTTTCTTAATCTTTGTTAATTACATGTTCCATTTCCTTATCTGGGTCACTCTTGTTTTCTCTTTTTTCCATTTCCATTTGACGTCTTATGTCTCTTGGCTTCTTTCTATTTTTTCAATATCATTGTTTTTATAGTTTTTTCTCTTTTTGATTGAATGGAGTGTACTTTTCTGTTTGCCTTGTGATTGGCACTCTTAACTGAAGCATGATTTAGATGATTGAAATGAATGGATGCTTAACATCATCTACTAGCATTTTTCTTTGGTTGTTAAAAGTTGATTATGGTGTTTTTCCAGGAGAAGCTAGTCCCTATATAAGTATCCATTACAGGGTGTGGACCAGAGTTATGATATGTTAATTTTCCTTTTTGTTCCCTTCTACTTCTTGCAAGTCTATCTGCTGTTTGTTCAATGTTATATAAATGAATATTGCTGTGTGGTACTTTACTTTCCTGATGCATCAATTGTATGGCCTGTCATTGTGAGTTTAGTGTAATATAATGGAGCCGGAAATTCTGACAAGGGGATTCCAAGAACACTTCCTTAAAAGTGTTCTTTATATAAAGGGAATTCAACAAGTTATATATAACATAATAATTTTTACCTATATATGCAGCATAATTTTCCGACGGGCATTCGATTGAATCTCCTTCACTATATATAGCTCCAACACTGCATAGCATATGGCCAGTAGGTATTCCCTAGTTCAGACATGGAAGCGCTAGTTGTAGTGGATAGATATATTAGAAGTTGCAAAACTACAAGTACTAATACGAGCTAGTGGATCAATAGCTCATTTGTCAAACACATAGGCATTTAAGTGCACATGGACAGAGAATCAGTTATCTGTATCCTAGAGTGCTTCCGTGCACTTCAACATTGACCACCATGCCACTGAAGCTTTCCTGGTACCATTAGAAGTTGGCTACTCCTAATGACGAATGGCAATGCTTCTTGAAGTTAGTCGTTAGTTGTGCGAATTTAGAGGCCTTGTTGAATAGTGAGATTTCAAGAAATTTAGTGCTCGGATTTTTGAACTAGGAGATGGGAAAGATTTCAAGTGATCCTGCCAACCCTCTATTCAGGGACATGAAAATAAGAACATCAAGGGGTTGAAAAATATAAGTGGTTTTGTTGTGATGCTGTGATCATGCTGCTGCTGAGTGCTGATACTTTCAATAAGAGTTTTTATAGTATGCTGTTTGCGGCAGTGAAAAGCAAACAATTAAGATGCATTAACTTTGTGGTCAACACTCATGCTTTCAACAAGAGAAGGACGCCCATTAATTGCGTGCTTAGTTAGTGATTATATACCAATTTCTTGTTGCTTTCTAGCAATGGCTTCTTTGTCGTAGGAGTGCACCATTGATAAGAGTTAGTCAAAGGGATCCTTGCAAGGGAGTTGAATAATGGGAAGTTTGTACTTTATCTGATGCGATATTCAAATCCAAGCTCATGTGGCTCCCAAACCACTAAAATCTGGATTTACTCAGTAATATGCATTAATTAGACGGATACAAATGTTTGCATATAATTTTTCCGTGAGGGTGGAGAGTCCGCATAGTACGATATTAGACAAACAAGTCCAGAATGCCGGTAACTAAGGCAAATAAAGGAGGCACAAAATTTATGTGGTTCGACAAATAAGAACTCATCATGGGCCTAGAGGAGCAATTCCACTATATCAAGTATGCAAAAGAGAATACACAATTAGATATACTACTTTAATTAATCCCAAAAAACCCCAACGAATAATCTCAAAAAAGACACTCATTCACTTACAAAGAGGTTCATACAAGTGTTTGCTTAATTCTAAAAAATACTCTTTATTTTGATACAATAGAAAACACACTAGAATTGTTTCTCAATTTCTGAAGGGTACCTCTAAAGTGAGAAATGATTGACTATGTATAACAAAGTGTTAGAAAATTGCTTGGTTAATATTTGACCAACAATTTTCAAATTGTTTGGCCAAAATATTGACTAATAATGCTTCATGTTGAAAGACCAACAAAAGGCCACGTAACAAATTGGTATAAGAGAAGGCCAACAAGAGGTATCTAACACATTTACCTTATTCTAATGTAGTCGAGATTATTATATATGTGATGGTGTACATGTCTGGACTTTCGTCAAGCAGTGAGTTGGTAAGCCGGTAAATGGATTCTCATATACTTTGAGGAACTTCAAATGTATGTTTGGAGTTTGGACGAAATACCTATAGTTTGGTTGTTTTTGTAAATTCAGATTATGCAGTTGATCATGACAAAAAGATTTCTTACATGCTATGTACATGTGGTTGTGCTATTAGTTGGAAAGCGACATTACAACATGTAGTGGCTTTATTTATTGATGGAGTAGAATATATGATCATTGTCGAGGTAATCAAAGAAGCCTTATGATCTCTTCAGACTCTTTGCCAACTTAGTCTTCACCAAGGTGGTATTACCGGTTTTTGGTGATAGTCAAAGTGTCATCCACCTGACTAAAGATCAAATGCATCATGAGTGGACAAAGCACATTATGCAAAGCACCACTTCATTTAGAAACCATTGTTGAAGGAGAAATCTTTCTTTAGAAAATCAATACTATGTGTTTAAGCTTTACAAAGCCTCTACAGTTGTCAAATTCAACCTTTCCTGAATTTGATGGATATTTACGAAAAATGATTTGGCTCATTGGGGCTTTTATGGAGGAGCAAATTTGTTTTATTAGTCAAAACTAGGCCAAGGTGGTGATTTGTTACGTGATCTATTTTTGGTCTTTCAACATGAAACATTGTGTGCCAATATTTGGCCAAACAATTTGAGAATTGTTGGCCAAATATTTGCCAAGCAACTTTATAACCTTTTGAAATATATAACCAATTATTTCACTTTAGAGGGATTATTAGACATTAAGAAACATTTCTAGTGTTTTTTTCTTGTATCAAAATAGAGAGTATTTTGTGGGAGAGTAAGTGCTGAGAAACACGAGTCTGATCCTCTGTGTGAGTGTTTCGCGTGAGGCTATTCTTTCATATTAGAGTATTATATCTAATTTTATAACATGTTTTTATACTTGACGATATAATGCAATTGCTTCTCCCTAGTGGACATAAGTTTTAATGACCAAACAACGCAAGTTTTTTTTATTTGCTTTAGTTATCGTTATTATTGGCTTACTTTGTCTAATTCAGCACTATCCATACTCCCGACCCTAACATATTGGTATTAGAGTCAAGTTAATCCGAGTTATGTCCTAGTGTCACGTTGACAATAACAAAGGCATATGTTGATGAATTCGATTGTAATGATAGTGTCAACACATGGCAACTCAATATGCAGGCTATTCTGATCTAGGATGGCCTGAATATTGCCTTGCAGAAGGCAAAAAAGCTGGAAAAAATGACAGATGAGGAGTTTGCCACCTTGACAAAAAGTCAAAGTCAGGTATCATAGAGTGCTTTTGCGCTCTTCAATATTTACCATCAGTGCGGAGGCAGGATTTCCACGAAGGGGGTTCAAATTTTTTTTTTGTAGCTAGTGGGAATTGAACCTATGACCTTATGAAGATTTTGAACCCCCTTGACCACTAAACTACACTTTTGGGTTGTGTTAAGGGGGTTCAAAACTTAATATATAGAGGTAAAAAATAGATTTTGCCTTGCCTTATATATACAGTATAATTTTTCGGCGAAGGAGGTTCGGGTGAACTCCCTTCCGCCCCCTAAATCCGCCCCTATTTACCACCATGCCGTGATATGGCATCATTAGAAGTTGGCTACTTGTAGAAAAGAAGAATGAAGAACAACAGTGTAGCTTGAAGTGAGTTCTTAATTTTGCGAAGTTTAGAGCCTTGTTGAATTGTGAGTTTTCGCAAAATTTATGGCTTGGATTTTAAAACTGGGAGATGAGAAAGATTTGTAGTGATCACACCAACCCTCTAATCAGTGACAGGGAAATGAGAACACCAGGGTGTTTACAAGATAAAATATAAATGGTTTGTTTTGATGATGTATGTGGTCATATTGCCGGCGATATTACTTTCAACGAGATCTCTTATAGGAGGCTATTTGTGGCAGTGAAAAGCAAACAAATAAGATGCAATAACTTTTTTTACTATTATTTGTAAGATGCAATAACTTTGTGGTCACCTGCTCGTGCTTTCAGCTGGAAAACGGTGTTTATTAACTGTCTGCTCTTATTGAGTGATTATATCCCCGATTTCTTGCTGCTTTTAGCAATGGCTTTTCCATCCCAGGAGTAAAAAGTTGAATTACAGAAAGTCTCTACTTTATGTTTGGACCCAGGAGTCATGTGGGCTGGACCATTAAACTTTGGTTTACTCATTGATGTGCACTAATGTAGGCGGGTACAGATGTTTGTTTTTTTCGCATATAATTTGTTGTAGATTCTTTTTTCACTCTTTTTAGTAAATTCAGAGCATTCATTTTGGACAAGGAAAAAATAATCTTAGGAGTTGCACTTCAACATTGCTACTAACGGTAATTGGAAGTAACACTAGGTTAACAGATTGTTGCTAATATTTGAAGATTTTACTTTTTGTGAGTGCTAATGTCTCAGCCCAAAGCATGTTAATTCTTGTGTTATTTAATGAACAAATTACAATTTATGTGGGTGGCATGGCGTTGAAATACTGATTTTCTGACTGAATTGCAGTTACCATCCGATTCCTATCGTCTTTTCTAGAGCTAAGGGTTCATCCATCTGGGATCCTGAAGGGAAAAAGTATCTTGATTTCCTCTCAGCTTATTGTGCTGTCAATCAGGTAAAAAGAGAAATATTGGACAAATTGGTATCTGTTATCAAGTGTTTCCTAAAAGTTGTAGAATCAACGTTGTACTATTCTTTGATTGGGCTTCTGGCACACGCTTTCCCAACCCCATAGATCCTCTTCGTCAGTTGAAGAATTGAAGCGAGGTGTTGTCACCTTTCTTCCCACTTGGTTTTACTTTATCCACTTTGTTATGTTCATATTACCCAATTATTTCCTCCGTCTGATATATCTGACATAATGTAGTGGCACAGAGATAATCAGCCAGCTTGTCTTACTAAATATATATGGTAAAAGTAAAAGAAACTTCGTAAAGTAGTCGCTGACATGGATTCACTTTAGCTGGTTTATTTTATTGTTATTAACACCTGTATCCTTTTCTCTAACAAATTAATTATATATTTGTCAAATATTTTATTCAAATATTTGTTGGGTTGCTGAATGTAAGACTTTCAAATATTAAGTCTGCAGAGCTTCCAAAATTTCTTGAGTGTGCGCAAAATTCATACTTTTCCATATGCACCAAATAATAAAGTCCTAAAAGAAACTGTACTTTACCTTGTACATAGCTCTAGCTTGTCCTTCAAGACTAAGTTGCTCGGACTCTTCACTTTTGGTGCCGCACCCGTGTCAACACGACGTGGGATCTGTACCAGATCTGATCAACTCATTTAGGGTACTTGACCAAAATCAATAGAGAAATTCGGGACAAATACGATGATTTATGAAATCAAAACAAAAGCTAGGGTGAAATTGAAGAAAATGAAATACCTTGTATATAGAAATTTCTATATCAGCCCTTGTCCTTTTATCTCCTTCTCAGATTCTCCTCTTGATCGATATTTTCCTTCTCGGAATACATTGTAAGTTTTCCGCATAATATCTCATAATTTAGACATATTTTTATAACTCTATTTTTAGATATTTAAATTATTTTTTGCCGAATCCCTACACCCATATCCATGCCGCCAAATCTTAAAATTTAGGTCACGAAGGATCCGATCTCTAGATCCGCACCCGTATGGGACACTCACACCCAAGTCCGAGCAGCTTAGCTTCAAGACACCTCATGTATATCTCTTTCTACGTTTCATATTATGCAAACGAGGCTAGTGTACCACATTTCCCTGATTATGTTTGGGGCTCTAGGGCCCCTCCGCATGGATAGGCATTGATGGTCGATGGACTTCTCTAGGCACCACTTGTTGCATTCCAAATAATGCCACGGCATGTTCCACATCTCCATTGCTGTATCACAGTGCAATAGTAGGTGTCAGGCCATTCCCTACTTTCTTAGTGATGCTCTTGTCCTCCACACCACTTAAGTACATTGGTTGAGAATTCGACTTGACTTAATTTAATATTTTTTATAGTAGAAGAAAATAGTATCGAAATGTTACTTTCATAAGGTTTACATTGCACAATGGTTTAATTCTGAACTAATAAATGGATTTGTTCTGATAAGCATATCAAATATTTTTGAGACGTCCCAAAATCAGTTGTCACATTAAAGAATAGAGAAGTACTATGCAAGATTTTCAGACTGAACTAAATTTAATTTTATTTTCAGGGACACTGTCATCCAAAGATCATGAAAGCATTAGCAGAACAGGCTCAAACGCTCACTCTTAGTTCTCGTGCCTTCTATAATGATAAGTTTCCAGTATTTGCAGAATATATAACCAACATGTTTGGATATGATATGGTGCTACCAATGAACACTGGTGCAGAAGGAGTAGAAACAGCTCTTAAGCTGGCAAAGAAATGGGGTTACATGAACAAAAGAATACCGAAAAACGAGGTAAAGAAAATATACCTTCTTGTTGATACTTCATGCATTTGTTTTTTGTCACAAAGTCAAACTTTAGCAGCTCTGCAACAGTTTGCATAATTACTTGGGTCACAGATAATTAAGTAATAGATAGATCTTTTAGAATATGTATATGAAAAGCAATTTCCTCATCTGGATGAGAGTAAATTAATGTTTGAAAGGAGTAAAAATGTCATTCTTCTGGCCAATACCCCTTTTTTATAAGTTCCCCCCTCCCCAAAAGGGTGGTGGGGGTGGTGGTGGGAACAGAAAAAGAGTAAATTAAGGTGTTCTTTTCAACAATAAAGAGGCTTAATGCTGGCGCACAATCCACCAAGTTTCGAATTGTGCGCCATTGGCCGAAATTTCTCGGTTATCAAAAAATGGAAAAAAAATCGAGCTTACCATAGGTAGATTATGTGTATGTATGTCTTTGCGAAACTTTGTTCTGGGTTAATCTCTTGCTTGAATATAGTCCCAAGATATCTTACATTGTCAACACTGTGGTCAAATTCTTTTCTCGTATGACTTTTCTATCTCCAACATTCTAGATTGACTTCAACTACTTGATTTGCTGAGACCTGGTTATTTATTTCAAACGAGATGAGACGTGAAGGGTTGGTAAGGAGATGGCATGAGATGAACAGGCAGTCTCCAGCTGAATACAAACAATCTTGAGGGACTTATAACTTAGGGTGGTGAGTGGACTAGGAGTTAAAAGTCTTGCTTTATGCCCCCAGAAATGATTGAAAGAGAGCTAATGAAGAACAGCAAAACTTGCCTAAGAGCTAATAGACAAGGCGATAATCCATAGTTGCAGACATGAAGAATGAATAAAATGTCCATCTTCTAACAACTTAATTTTTAGATGAGGCGATTCACATAGTTCAAGCAGACAAAGGGTTCCGGGTTTCAGTCTAGCCACCACCTGTCATAAAAAATTTCCACGTGCTTAACCTAAGAGAAGAAATCGGGATGACACATGAGGAGACGTGTTGCACACCTACAATAAAGAAATAAAAATGTTCCATCTTTAACAATTTAAGCCTTCAAATGAGACAATATGTGCAATTTAATAGTTGTTATATTAGTTGAATGAAGCATTCTTTCCCACAACTTGGGGAAGATGGAGACAATAAGACAGACTTTACAAGGTCTAAACTGAATGGCCAACATTGCTTTTGATGCATGGTGACAAGTTCACTTCTTCTTTTGTTTTTTTAATGACGGTGGTGTCAGGACCAACTTGTGTGCACCTCGACTATTTCATCAGGTACCTGTTACCTCCCATCAGCATAAGTACAGTATAAGTTTACCCACCAAGATCAGACAAATGGGATAATATCATCTAGTGTTGTTTGCCTCCGCTAGGATTTGAACCTGACACCTCATAGTTCTCCTCCCACTTCATTAACCACTAGGCCCCACCCTTGGGTGCGATAGCAAGTTCATTTCTTTTGTTGCCATAGTTTTAAAAATTACCCTTGTGGAAACCGTCTAACAAGAACTATCATCATCAATCTTTTTTTTTTTTTTTTTTTGGGGGGGGGGGGAGTTATGTTCACCGCTCTCTCTATCATTTCAGTCATTTCCTCTGCTATGTTCTGACATGACTTGCCAATCTTGATTGCGCTTAATGAAGATTCTTTAGAATTGGGGACTGAAGATTCCAGAATTAACTTCTGAATTTTTTTTCTCTTACTTGTGGGAACATTTTTGAGCAACTTTGTCAACGTATTGCGTGAATTCAGAAAGTTGGAAGATTTTTTTACTTTTGCTGTTTTTTCCCTATTTAAGTTATCCAAAGTTTTACAAAAGTTTGTGGTTGTTATACAAATTTTATGAAAGTTGAATCCAGAACCTGCTGCAGCCAGTTTTGTGGTGTATTCCTACTTTCAAATTCAAGTCAATTGTATTTTTCCTATAGTTGAACTTCACCTTAAAGTTTCATAATGACTCCATAAATGCCATGTCCTTTTTATTAAGATTGGCCCGGAAGACTGTCGAAACTTTTCAGTATATAATGTTTAAATTTGTCATTTGCAGGCTATCATTGTCTCATGTTGTGGCTGCTTCCATGGTCGGACATTGGCTGCGATCTCCATGAGTTGTGACAATGAAGCTACTCATGGTTTTTGGCCCCTATTACCTGGGCAACTTAAAGTTGATTTTGGAGACGTTGTTGCCCTTGAAAAATTATTTAAAGGTATGTAAAGGTCGTGTCTGTAAAGGTGACGAATCTATCCTGGCAAAATAATGGTGGTAAAATACATACTTCCTAATTGCAAACATAGTTGTTGAAGCTCATTGTTTTTCACTATTATGGTTTCAGAGAAAGGAGATCAGATCGCTGGCTTTTTGTTTGAACCAATTCAAGGAGAGGCTGGGGTATGTGTATTCTTCAACCAGTGTGACCATTTAGAAATATTTAGTGTCTATGATCATATCTAATATGTCATAACAACAAATTTACAAATATTTGCTTGGAGAGGGCTCTACCTAACCTCAGCCTGAAATCGGTGTTGGCATTTTCAATCTTTTCCATTGCCTTTTATTTGTTTACTGTTTCGTTCATGCTACCTGGAAAGGGCACTGCGGCGGGAAGATAATGAAGTCTTGTTACTATATGTTAATTGTCACTTGTCCCAATGGAAAAGGATCTGTGCTTATTCTGTACCATATCTGATATTTTTCTTCCTCTCCAGGTTATAATTCCGCCAGAAGGTTACCTGAAGGCTGTTAGAGATCTTTGCTCAAAGTATAATATTTTGATGATTGCTGATGAAATACAAAGTGGCTTGGCACGCTCTGGTAGATTGCTGGCTTGTGATTGGGAAGAAGTTCGTCCAGATGTTGTTGTAAGGAACTCATAGTTTTTATAAGAGGACGATTGAAATTTGTTTTGAACGTATGCTACTAGCTTGAGTCTTTGTGGAATTGTGGTCATGCTCCTAAATTTTGAAAACGTGCTGTGCAGATATTGGGAAAAGCATTAGGTGGTGGAGTCTTGCCTGTGAGTGCTGTACTTGCAGATAAAGATGTTATGCTTTGTATTCAGGCCGGAGAGCATGGAAGGTTGCAAATTGATATATGAGAAGTTCTCATAACTGTTTTTTGTTTTGTTTTGACTTGCAGTTGATTTCAGATTAAAAGAGCAAGTTATGGTTTCCGCCTAACTCTCTCGAGTTCATTTGACTTGTGCAATTCTACGTTTTTGATTTCAGTGATGCCTTGCGTATTGCTCAAAAAAATAATAAAATGATGGAGTCCAGTTACTTCCCTATATAGTTATACACTTTTAGTAGTAATCGTTGCTAGTCAAACCACCATCCAGCAGTGTGGACGACCGGCTTTAATCTTCCAATGCTCTGATTTTAAGGTGAAATGTGTGGCTTTATTCTAAAACCATGTTGTCTTCCGGTTCTTCTGTTTCAGTAAATGTATTTGAAGAAAAATGTATATTACATTTTATCTCCTGCTCTGTATGAGGTTTACCCTTACGATTTTAAATGGATTTGAATTGGGCTTATAGCTGGCTTTGAACTTGCTATATACCACTATCATAGATCAATAATTCTTTACATTAATTTGTTTCTGTTTCATGATACATGTCTTTTTTTCCTTTTCAATCACATCAGCACCTTTGGGGGGAATCCTTTGGCTAGTGCAGTTGCAATTGCATCTTTAGACGTGATAAGAGACGAAGGACTTGCAGAGAGGTATCTATTCCTTCCCTCAACACCAGATGTTTTGTTGCTTATATAGTACCCTGGATCTGTCTCTGGCCCATGGGTTGGGTGTTGTGGGGGAGATTAGGGAATGTTTCAGAAATCACATCAAACTTTACGATGTTTAGCATGAAAATGCTCTTCATCCTAGGAGTAATTCCTCTGCTCATAATTGGGCAGGAAAGCAAATGAATTACGCTGGCTACATGATACTCCTCCGTCCCAATTTATGTGGCACACTTTCCTTTTTAGTCTGTCCCGAAAAGAATTTCACCTTTTTATATTTAGAAACAATTTAACTTCAAAATTTTCATTTTATCCTTAATGAGATGATTTATAGCCACACAAATATCTAAGGTTTTTTTTGGACCACAAATTTCAAAAGTCTTCCTTTTTCTCATAAACTTTGTGCCTAGTCAAACAGTGCCACATAAATTGGGACGAAGGGAGTAGTAGTTTTGTGGTCATGTCATAAATCTTTTTTGTATTAATCACCTGATTGATCCTGCATTTATATTTCTTGGTAATCAGCAGCTTTTGAAAATCACAATCTGTACTAATGGTTTCTTTAATAATAGATCTGCTCAGATGGGAGAGCAACTTAGACATCAGTTGATGAAGGTTCAGGGGCAGTTTCCTAATTTCATAAAAGAAGTTCGAGGGAAAGGCCTATTCAATGCTGTGGAGCTTAATAGTAAGGCTTTGTTACCTGTGACAGCTTATGACATATGTATGAAACTGAAGGAGAGAGGAATTCTTGCTAAGCCAACTCATGATTCTATAATACGCTTGACGCCCCCGCTGTCCATGAGGTATGCCCTTTTTTCAAAACTTCATAGTTTCTGCATTCCCTCCCCCCCC